ACGTAAGTTGGATTGCTTTTCTCTTTATAAAACTACACGGGAAAAATATTTTTGTTGATAATTTTACTCAAAATATGATTGGTGGTGAACACATTTAGAGATTACTAACTGCGCATGTTTTTGTCAGGTTTAGTGTTAAGTTCATGTTCGTGAGGTGCAGAGATGTAACGTTAAGTTACAGAAGAGTGTGAAAGTTTCTCATGCCGCTTCGATTTCCTGAAAAAAGGTGATTAATGTTACGTGTAAAATAACTTTTTGGAATGGGCTTACAATTTATGTTATATATGCTTTTAGCTTCTTTCATTTTGGTTTGCTGACAGATCCTCTAGCCTCCATTCCCGCCGAGGCCTGGTTTTACTCACTGTCTGGAGTGCAGTAAAGTTGTTTTTATGTTGGCAGTGGTCTTTAACGAGCCGAAAAAAGCTCACGTTACACCTCTCTTCATCAGTTTACACTGGTTACCAGTAGCTGCTTGCATCAAATTCAAGGTACTGATGTTTGCCTACAAGACAACAACTGGCGCTGCACCAATATAAATCTGTTCAATACTCCCGCACTCTATGAGCACCATCTTCACATGCACATATAGCGAAATGAGTTCTCTTTCGCTGCTGACTGTGTTTCAATGTCTTAAAATCACCTGTTTTTAAACCACAATGCTTAAAAACGCGTGCAAACGATACGTTTTCATGACCATGTAGCACAGCAAAGTCATACGAGACGATAGTCAAAAATCTCTACCGGTTGACAAATTTCTACCAGTTAATTGTGTCTACCGGTATATCATCCATCCCTGGCGCTAGCAACACCAAAGTAATGGGTTTGATGCCCAAAGAATGCATGAACTGATAAACTGTATACCTTGAATGCAACACGATTTGGATCAAAGCATCTGCCAAATGCATAATTGTCAAACAACCATTTTAGTGGCTTGGCCTTTTGTTTTTAAAGATGTATAAATTACATCTGTATTACATATATGTTTAGTTACATGTTGAGTCAAAAATTCTGCTTCAGTATATGAGCCTACAGTACATGGTGTCCTAAAAAGTGTTGGTTTAGATAAAGATTACATAAAGAAATATGCCCTGAGTTGTCTTTACACACAGTAAAATCAGCAGTGTAATATTTGCAGTGTTAAAAGTTATTAATTCCCAAAGAGTTGAATTAACAATCTACAGTGTTAAACAGTACTCGTGTTCAGTGTTGCTATATGGTGTAATTTCACTTTTACACTAAAAGTGCGGAATAAAAAACCCCTCCGAATTGTCTGGATTCCGCCCTTCAATGACTGCTGCCTCGCAATGCGACAACGCCATTTTATCTTCAAGCGACCGAGACGTAAGTTGGATTGCTTTTCTCTTTATAAAACTACACGGGAAAAATATTTTTGTTGATAATTTTACTCAAAATATGATTGGTGGTGAACACATTTAGAGATTACTAACTGCGCATGTTTTTGTCAGGTTTAGTGTTAAGTTCGTGTTCGTGAGGTGGAGAGATATGTTAAGTTACAGAAGAGTGTGAAAGTTTCTCATGCAGGTTCGATTTCCTGAAAAAAGGTGATTAATGTTACGTGTAAAATAACTTTTTGGAATGTGCTTACAATTTATGTTATATATGCTTTTAGCTTCTTTCATTTTGGTTCGCTGACAGATCCTCTCGCCTCCATTCCCGCCGAGGCCTGGTTTTACTACGAGTCTGGCACTGAAGTCTGAAGCAGCCACATTTGGGCGGTTTTCTACTCAAATGAGAGAATTCATCAAATGGTAAATTTATATTTGTTTTTGAAAGCATTGAGTGTGGCATTTCGCTGTTTCCATGCTTTGAAACGGTCAATAGTGGGACTGTTAAACATTATGCGCTAACAATTTCATTTTTGTGACGCATAACACCGTGTTGAAGTGTCTGTCTCGCCCGCTGCAAACGAGCAGTCTCTCTGCAGACAGAGCTGGCATAACGCAGAACATTTACCAGTCATTTGATTGACGTTATCTAATGCAAAACTCTGAAATTAGAGCGCGTTTAAAAACTTCCATTCGCCATAGGCTTAAGTGTGAACTGCGTAATCTGTACGTTGCTTGTTCTCAGCGCTGAATATCATGTCCGTCATGTCGTCATATCAACTGCAAAAAGATAAATGGTTAGTACCCAAAAATGAAAAATTTTAATTATTTCTCACTCTCTGTCATTCCAAACCTGCAAGACTTGCATTCATTTTCAAAACACAAATGAAGACATTTTAAATGCGAAAATGTTCTTCCATTGACAATCTACACAACTACCACTTTAATACTTCAAGAAGTTCATAAGGAGATCATAAAACTAATCCAAATGAATCGAGCAGTTTAGTCCAAATTTTCTGAAGAGACTCAGTGAACAGTTTTACGCTTTACAATGAACAGATTAAATTTTTTTTTTCACATTTAAACATTGATCAGGGAACAAAACCAGAAAATCTAACCACGATACGTATGGATTAGTTCTCTTTATGGATTAGATCTCTTTATGAAGTTTATGAAGTATCAAAGTGGAAGTTGCGTGGACTGTCATTCAAGGGACAGAAATCTTACATTCTAATATCTTCAATTGTGTTTCAAAGATAACAAAAGTCTTGGCTGAGTAAACAATGATGAAATTTTAATTTTTGAACTAACCCTGTAATAAAAGATTGTGGCCATATGCGTCACCCAAGATGCGTGCTAATGCCAGGTGTGAACAGAGCCACTGTGTGACTACTACACAATCAACTTAGCAGAATTGTTCCTGAGACTATATTTCAGAATAAGATTATCTATATTAATGCTTTGCTTTGCATTTGCATGCTGTGTTCATGCATTTTTTTGCTAAAGTTGTCGTATCTGTTATTTAGAATGGGACAGCGATATTGCATCAATTGGTCTCCTACTTCATTTGATTCCACCATCACCACAAGGCTGCAAGGGACCTGGAAAAATGTCGTCCTATCAAGCTGAAAAACATCTTCAAAAAGGTACATTTGGACATTTCTGTCACTACCTATTGTCTGCCTCAAAATATTGCCAGATGGGTTGTATATGAAAGACTAATGTAAATAAAATCAGTTGGAGAGCTGACCTTGAGTGTTATTTTTGTCTTTGATCTGCAGGCACCAACAAGAAGAACAGCTTGATTGCATAGAAGAGACCACACAGCCATACCTGCTCGCTGATGGGACAACGAGGAACATCATTCATGGATGCTACACAACTGTCAAATCTACCTGTCATATTTGTTCATGTCTAGGTAAATTTGATGATTTTGTGTTTTATTAACAATTTTATGTTTCTGTGCAACACTTAATAAATGTGACTGACTAATTAACCTCTACACATCTGATATGTTTTAAAGTTGCCACTTTGCCCATTTGTTAAATAAACGTTGAAATTTATACATCTGTCTGAAGACTCTTGATTTTATGTCTAATCTTGTACATTAACACCATACAATAGCATTTTTGTGTTTGCACTGAAAAGAGTACTTCATTAATAACACTTAAAGGATTAAAACAACACCAGGGGTGTTAAATACCCCATAGTGCCTATTGTCTGCCTCAAAATATTGCCAGATGGTTTGTATATAAAAGACTAATGTAAATAAAACCAGTTGGAGAGCTGACCTTGAGTGTTATTTTTGTCTTTGATCTGCAGGCACCAACAAGAAGAACAGCTTGATTGCATAGAAGAGACCACACAGCCATACCTGCTCGCTGATGGGACAACGAGGAACATCATTCATGGATGCTACACAACTGTCAAATCTACCTGTCATATTTGTTCATGTCTAGGTAAATTTAATGATTTTGTGTTTTATTAACAATTTTATGTTTCTGTGCAACACTTAATAAATGTGACTGACTAATTAACCTCTACACATCTGATATATGTTTTAAAGTTGCCACTTTGCCCATTTGTTAAATAAACGTTGAAATTTATACATCTGTCTGAAGACTCTTGATTTTATGTCTAATCTTGTACATTAACACAATACAATAGCATTTTTGTGTTTGCACTGAAAAGAGTACTTTATTAATAACACTTAAAGGATTAAAACAACACCAGGGGTGTTAAATACCCCATAGTGTAAAATTTAAACAACAATAGCAAGTGTAACACTTTACACTCGGAGTGTAATTTTTCTACACTGTAAGGTGCTATATTAACACTAAAAATTCAACACTACGAACGGTGTACTTTTAACACTAGACAGATTGGGACCATATATGAGCTTTAGTAGTGTTAAAATCGACACTTTAAGTGTTAAATTGACACTGCGTTTTTTACTGTGCAGTCAGTCTGAAGGTGAGGTTTGTTTTAGTAGAAATCGACTGGAGGTATTTGTCTTAGAACTTTAAATGGACCACTAAATCAAAGACTTTGCTTATTTGATGAAGACATCAAATGGAGATCCCTAGTGGACAACCAAACCATCTGGCCTGATTGGAGTTGCTTGGTGGTGATGGTTTGTTTGGATCTTCTGACTGAGAACAGCTTGCTGCAGTTGGACATATGCTGCCTCCCAAATCTGTTGGCTTTATCAATATTCGTTAACACAGATGATTAGCTGGACTGGGTGAAAAGAGGGGACCGTATCCCAGGAGTTAACATAAACTGATTCATCTCATGTCATAGCAAGTGGAGTGTCAGTTTTGGAAAGTTGGTGCTGGGAAGAGTTTTTTCTTCACCACCATTGCATGTTGTGAGTCATCATTCTCTTACCAGTTTCACTATTGATGCTAAAAAGACCAGTTTACAATGATTTTTAGTGCTAGTCAAAGTTGGTTTATGCTAATCTAGCTGATGGACCAGCACAACCATAATGTAAAATTAATCATATATACAGTATATTTCACAATATTACTGTTTTACTATATTTTGATCAAATAAATGCAGTCTTGGTCAGCATAAAAGACTTCTTTCAAAAACATTAAAAAATCTTACAGACCCCAAATGTTGTGTGACTAGTGTTCAAAATACACTTACTTATATTGTGCCTGGAAGTGCTCTTGTACAAAGCTGTGACATACACCAGGCTGTGTCTGTGGTGGGGCCAGGGTATCAGAGACAGGCTTTTCATCACCTCCTTCTTGACCCTGAAACAAAACAAAAAGGTCATGTAGACATTTAGATAGACGGTGCCTTACTGGACACACTTTCCAGGTGTTAATGAGAATATCGACCTGATTTCTGCCTCACTCAGCGAGCCAGTTTTGCACTCTCATTCTTACAGTTTGTTTGAAGTTTTACACTGGCAGTAGTGAACTTGACAACAGCTAAAAGAAAAACAGGAGGATAAAACACACAGGGAAAGGTGATACACACTTCTCAAGGTCAAAAGACAAGATGGTACAGATCGTATACTATGACTTATGATTTTATGTCAGACAAAGAGAGAGAAAGAGGAAGGTGTATAAACTACAACTGATTGAAAAGTTTCAACCGGTTTCATCATCAGATAAAAACAGAGTGGTGGCCACCGAGACCTAAATGAATTAACAATTCTACACACCTTCTATCATCTGTTTTAGAGTATGATAATCTAATACAACTAAGATCTGAGGACTTTTAACCAGAGTCAGACAACAACTTGGATTCATTATTGATACACCCACTGCAATGCTGACTACAAAAACAATACATTCTTCATTATTCTTCTATGATGGAAATCTAATAAATTAATATTTTTAAGTAATACATAATATAATCTAATTACACAATGTGATGATTAATTCATCTAATTAATTGCAAATTCACGCATCAAAAAGATATGACAAAAATAAGTTTTATGAGAGAAATATTTTATTTGATTAAACAGAATTTATTACTGTATTACTTATTTAGATATATTTACAGACTGTTTATTGCAGCTCAGAGGTAGCATGAATGCATTTACACTGAAATTACAATGGCATAAATATAATAACTATATTGTGTCTACAATATAACAAAATATTAACTTTTTATTTTTATTGCATAAAATCAATATCACATTAGTATAAAATCAATAACAATGCTATTCAGGACAAAAACAGCACTTGTGCTATTATTCCCATTAGTACTGCACTCATTGCTTGTGTCATATTGTTTAAACTACAGTATTTCATATGCTATAAATATGAGGCAAAAATTGAGGCATTTTTGCCTGAATCAATTGGATATTAGTGGTATATAACTGAATTCTATAGGCTAAATTACAGTGAGTTGTTGCCCTGCATCACGTTCGTCACCAATCAACTGTATGAAATGTAAGATGACCTACGTAGATCTATTAGGTTAGATTTCTTAAATTTATATTTACATTTCTGACTTGTTTTTTTTATGGCCATAGGATAAGCTTTTTAATGATTTAATATAAACAAGTAGGTCAAGGCTCTCTCAAACTTAAATCTGTAAATATTCCCTTAAACGTAGATCACACAACTCAGAATTTTACTAGCAGCTTAAGCAAAATACTTTGAAGCGTATTGTCCTTATCAAAGCTTTGCAGTTCGATTCAGTCGGTTGGCTCTTTTCAAAGGAGTCTGGCAAAGTAAAGTGTTTGAGAAAGACACTCCCCACAATTCCTCGCTGTCAGCTGAGTCACGTCTGCCCCCTCACTGACATTCTGAAAGCTTTGGAAATTTATGGTTGGAAAGTTGTTTTACATGCAAAAACTAGAGACACAGCAAACTCCTGACTATAAAGTCCATTTTTTCCAGTGTATAATGGAAACTTTACCATTGATAATACACCACCCAAGAGTTCGAATAAAAGGGAGAGTTCATTCACCTCCTTTCTTTGACCCAAGAGCGTGCTGTCTTTATTTTCTCCCTTTTCTAAATTTCTTAAAGAGCCACTCTTGTTTTTAATACCACTTCCTGTTTCTCTCTTTCCCTCTTTTTTATGTTCTAGTCTACTTAATACTCCTTAGCTAATAATTAGGGCCTTGAGTTTTATGCAGAATGGTACTCCAGAGCACAAAGAGGAACAAATCCTCTTTTCTCTTTCTAAAGGCTTGAGATTCAGTGGCGTCATTGGAGTAATTGCAGAACTTTGAGTCCAGTAGTTTTTAGAGTAAAAAAAAAAAGAGCAGTGTAGTGCTGCAACACTCTCAGAAACAAGGTACGAAAGCTTTCACTGGGGTGGTACCTTTTCAAAAGGTACACATTTTTACACCTGTAACTTTAGATATAAACTAAGCAAAGTAATATTCAGTGTTGGGGATAACGCAATACAATTAATGTGAGTTATTGTAGTTCTAGAAATGTGAACATGCATTTACTTATTTGATTCTTATTATTATTCATCCTTGTAAAATGGTTCATCCTTAATGCTTCGATTAATTCATTTTAGTTCATCTATAATCATCCTAAATTATCTGATTCATTTCGTTCTAATTAATTGCAGTGAATCGTATCATCCTAAATGATCTAATTCATTCTAGTCTCATTGATTCTAGAGAATTGTATCATTCTAAATGATCTGATTCATTCCAATCTCATTGACCCTAATGAATCTGTTTGTCATCTTTCATATGTAGCATTGAAAAATCAGATGTGTTCCAGTTAATCATTTCAAAAACCCTCAATATTTCTGTGGCAAAAACACAAGATTCTTATTTAATTCTGCATTATATCTTTTGGTAGCTATTTTGTTGTTTATATCTTGTATTGTAGCAAAATACTTTTTCAAACAAGTAGTTTGACTAGTTTAACTTCTTTGAAGCTGTAGCTTGTCAGGCTACACTGTAAAAAATCCAACTTGCAAATTGTTAACTCGGTTTAAAATTGCAAGTCAAGTGGACAAATTTTGGAGCACATTGTTGAGTTTACTTATAAAAACGATTTAACTGCATGTTTATTACTGCTTTGTTGAGTGAATGTAAGTACATAACTGTAGACTATATAGGGCTAGAGTGCAAACTTGCATCATCGATCCTTTACATGCAGACAATGTTTCAAAAAGTGCAGCTCGGGAGATATTAAACTGGATGAGCGATATTGTTTCATTCTTCCCTTCAAAAGGAAAGGGATGCATTACAGGAGGAATTGAAGAAGAAACATCTCAACATGGCATTTGTTGACTCGAAAATGGAATTGACATTCTCATTGAGAAGGAAGGAGATAGTTGAAGAAGAACCTCTTGTAGCTGATGTACTAAGACAATGGCCAGCATTGTTTTTGGAACATCAGGTAAGTTTTAAAGAGTAACTTGTGATTTTTTTCCCCCCCTGTAAGATGAATAGACTTACTGTACACTTGCTGTATTCCTTTTTGTTAATTCTGATTTATTTATTTTTTAGATATGTGCTGAGTTTTACAGAATCACACAAACAAACCTGAAGAGTAAATTTTTCTCTTCTCTGGATGAATATACACCGTGGATGATCAAGTTGTATAGGGTACGCGGCGGAGCATATGGAGATAATATGAAGACCCTCCTAGACCAACTTGATAATCAGGTAATTATTTAGATTGTGTTCCTATATCTCTCGTTAAGGGGAACCTATTATGATTTGTTGGGTTGACTTTCTTTTAGTGTGTAACGTAGGTAATGTAGGAATTTGAATCAATCTAAACACGTGATGCATATCATTTTTTCTATATTCCATATCGATGCATATCATTTTTTCCGTGTTTGTTTTTCTTTGTCTCTCAGACCTCTGATGTGCTTGCTCATAGAAAGGCTACAGCTCTCAAAGGTCTACCCAAGCTACTCATAACTCATAAGCAAAATCATTATCATTTTACTGCAGGATGTACAGCAGAGGGTCTCTAATGGAATTTTAATTATCTTGATTTTGCAAATAATAAATTAGTAGTGCATTGGGAATCTTGCAGCATCAAATTTATGGCTGCTGTCTAAGAAGTGAAATCCCCCCCCCCCCCC